TATTAAAGTTATTACAATCTATATATATAAAGAAGAAAGTTTGTTTGTTCTCTATGCATTCAGTCCCTGTAAGAGCTAAAGCAGCCAAAATTTGCATGGCACATCCTTGGGTCCAGGGGAAGTTCAAGAGGGGGTCGGCGAGACCGAAGGAGGGGGGAGAGTTCCCGCCCAGTTTTCAAAAAATGGTTGAAAGATTTTCAGATTTTTATGTTCTCCAATTTCTGAGGTACTCGCATCTTGCTTTTATACGCGTTGGCTTTGTTCTGTACATGCTCGATAAGTAATGACTTGTTGTCACTTGAACTCAAAAGTGAAAAAGACCAAAAAACGGGCTCTCTTTCTACTTTTGACTTAAAGTCACTTTAGATTACTTCATGCGAGTCATATTTGGTTTCGACTAGGTTAATCGAGGGGCTATGTGTCCTACGAGAGGCTAATGAACTGAAGTAGACTCATCTAAAGCAATGTGCCTTCAGCTTTAGACGCGGTTGTACAAGTTTCATCTAGATACCAGATTATTAAAAGTTAGACTTGACCTTTTTTTGGATGATTTTAGGAACTTAAGTGCTATAGAGACCTTAATTCGGTTCAAAACGAGCTTCCCCATCCAATTGTAAAAATATAGCGGACGACCTTTCTGTATTTTTCTTTTCAACAGTTTCACCAAACAAAATTTGGTATTTGAACATAAGTCCGGGAACAAACCCTATCTGATACAAATAGCGGTCTAAGTAAAAACACCGGACTTTTGAGTTTTGCCCTTTCAAAAATTTTCGATAGACCGCTGACGTCGACCCTTCCCAACACCAAATATCGATAGATACATTATTCTCGATAGCTTTTTCAACAACAGGTGTAAAATCTGCATCACTCGAGACTAAAACAATATGAGTGTCTGCGTCTTTTGCCTCAGTATCGACTCTTTTTTGTCCGTCCTCACTAGCTTCTTCCGTACCAAAAGTCTTAGCGGCACCGGAAATAACGTTTGCTATTTCAATAGCTATATGAGTATCAACTCCCTTTTCTTTTTCTCGAATGACTACTTCTTCCGTTTCGCCTTCTTCAGCCTGAGCTCGTTTTTCTACAGCCATAGTAATGCGTTCACGAAATTGGACTTTGTACTTTTTAATCATTCGTTGATACATTTTGTTCTTTTCTATAACTTGCCTTTCATTTGGCCGATGGGAGAGAAACAAATAGCAGTGATCTTTCATTGGCAATGGTTCATATTGATCCCAAAGACAGCAAATGAGTTGTAATAAATTCGGTGCAAGAACGTACCGCTGACCAAGATCTTCCTACACAAAGTCAACGTACAGTTTATGCAGAAAGCTGAATAGTCGGAGTTAATTCTCTAGTTGTCCTTACGTACTTCGTTTCCAATTTTTAAACGATATTTGTCCAAAAAGCTTTTTCGATCGATGCTTGTTTTTAGATCCTTTTCGTAATTTATCAATGTCTTTAAATCCTAAAAGTATTTGACATTATATGAGAATCATGGCTGAACTTTTGATTTTGCAGTTTCTACGTACCTCTAGATTAGTTACACGTTTTAGTAAAGAGAATAAAGCTTTCAGACCTTGCTCTGTAGATAAATTCGTGTTGTTATACTTTTTTAAAACGTGTAAAAATTCGCCCAGCGATTCTTCAAGTGTCATGTCATTTTTCATTTGTACATTTGATGTCATCGTCGTAGCGGTCGTTGTTGTGGCATTTTTGTCTTCTCCTCCATCATTTGTCGTCACTTTGGCACTAATGCTTGCTCGGTTGGCTTTGTTTGTGGTGCCGCTATCGATTTCTGGTTTAAGATCAGTAGAACTCTTCTCGATAAATAATTTGGGCTTGTGTTGCCGATATTTGACCCGATTAGTTGCTTGATGGAGATGCATGTTTTTTATTATGCGAATAATATCGTGTAATTTAATTGTGAATTGATAACGCTTTAATTTGCAATCGGATTTTCTGAGTTGTCGTCGTCGTCGGTTGTGTCGTATTTTTGCGGCGGATGAGCGTTGATGAATCTTTCTCGTTTGTATGCCAATTGTTCTTGGGTCATGAGGAGACGATAATGAGGACGTTGGATGAGGTAGTAAACAAAATTAAGGATTAGTGTATGCTAGGCAAGTGAAACATCATCACAGGTAGCAACCCACTGAAAGCAGGTGCCGCCCATTAGGTGACATTTAAATGTCGTAGGACAATAACTATTAAACAATAACGATATTCGCGACACAGGCACAGCCTACAGAATGGAAGCTCAATCTATGAAACCGAATGACAAGATGTTGTGTTGTCTAGTGATCACTGATGTTACTATGCATCAGTGTGTGACATTTTTGATCGATTAATTACATAAATCCACTCTCTCATAAAGCGGAATGATAACATCGACGGTGACTTGTCGAGTCAGAGTTGTTTTTTTGACATGTTGAACGATGTATGTTTTGGTAGCGATACGATGAATAATTCGAAATGGACTCTCATGACGGATATCACATTTATGTCGCGGGTTAAGCGTTTTTATGAGAACTAAGTCGTGCGGTTTATAAGTGGAATCACTTCGATTCTTATTGTATCTTTGCGTGTACTGATTTTGTTGTTTCAGAATAGTTGCGCGTGCGTCATCGGTCATGTCGGATAAGTAATCGGTCAATTTTTGTACATGTTCTGGATCTTGAGAAAGAGAAACGACGGGTTGTTGTTGGTCGAACGGGAATACAGGAGATAGGTCATGCATTAATTCAAATGAGATGATTCCTGTTGTTGAATGAATACTCGTATTGCAGTTGAACGTAACAAAGGGCAGCTGTTCATCCCAGTTGGTTCGACGATCGTTGGAGAGCGATGCGATCTTGGCGTCCATGGTTGGTCGAAATGAGTACCGTTGTCGATTAGAATCGCCTGAGGTGTACCATATTTTAATATCAGCTCTTCATTAAGGAAACTAGCGGCTGTTTCCGGGGTATAGTCTCGAACAGCCGTGGCAACGACATATTTTGAGAGAATATCGGTGGCCGAGATGATATATTTGTCTCCCCGTTGACTTGTAGGTATAATCGGTCCATGAAAATCCATTGATAGGAGTTGCCAGAAACCTTCCGGTGGTTTTATCGGTTTCAACGATCCCGGTGCTTTGCGGCGCTGATGATTATTTTGACAACACGGAACACACGATTGAATATGATTACGAATGTCCCGAATCATTGATGGCCGGAAATATCTTTCTTGAATTCTTCTAATGGTTTTGTCGCGTCCAAAGTGTGCGCCGTTCGCTGGCGTACCGTGATAAGTTTTCAGTATGTCGGCTCGTAAACGGCCCTTGGGAACGAATGGAAGCGATGGTAATGGGTGTGAGTGTTGTCGCATGAGAATATCATCTCTGATAAAATAGTGTTTATGAGCGGCGATGTTATTCACGATTATTCGAGACGGCTTGCCGTACTTGTTCATCGGAGCCATCCACCGGTATGCGGGTGCTCTGAACTTGTACGTCTTCCGATGAATCAAGAGTCCCATCAACCGATGTGTGAAGATTTGTCCACCGCTCACATTTTGCATTAATTTGTGCTTTGACATTTAACTGCACTAGCGGTTTATGATCAGTTTCGAGTACAAATTCAGGTCCATCCAGATATTTGTGCCATGTTTCGATTGCGGCCAAAATTGCATAACATTCTTTTTCGGTAGTGGACCATTTTGCTTGAGTCGACGATAATTTTTGGGAAAAATATGTAACGGGTAGATCGCCATTCGGATAGGTCCTCTTCAATACAGCTTGAATTCCTATGTCGGACGCATCGGTTTGAAGTTTAAATGGTCGGGTTTCATTCGGAATTCGGAGAATGAGATCGGCGGTCAATTTGTTTAAGGTGATTGAACGCTTGCAAATCATTGTCACTGAACACAATTTTCTCGGATTTTATTCGTTTGCCGTTGTTACTTGTATTGGGTGCGTATTTGTACAACAGCATGGCGATTTGAGAAAAATGCGGGATAAATTTACGATAGTATGCAGCCGCTTTAACAAATCGATAAGCTTCTTTCGATGTTGTTGGTGGTTTCGTGTCGAGCAATCCGCGTATTTTCCCAGAATCCGGCATAAGTTTTCCATGCTCGATACGATGACCAAGAAAATTGATTGCTTGCTTCACGATGTTACATTTGTCGATGTTTAAGCGGAAATTGGCTTCGGTAAGTCGACTGAGAATTTCTTCTAGGTGTAATAAATGCTCTTCAAATGTACGAGAATAAATTATCACGTCATCTAAATATGCCAA